CGTACTACTTACGTTACGTACTAACGTACTACGTACTACTACGTACTAGTACTACGTACTAGTACGTACTACTACGTACTACTATACTACGTACTACTACTACAGAAACACACACACACACACACACACACACACACACACACACACACACACACACACACACACACACACACACACACACACACACACACACACACACACACACACACTCATTAACACACACAATCAATCAATCAATCAATCAGAAGGCAGGAGTCAGGGTGAACAATGCTGGGGCGATGATGGGACCACACATGCTGTCCTCACAGAACAGGAACAGGGTCAAGGGAACAATAAGAGCTGGAGGTAGAGATAGGGACATCTTAGTTGACTTTATTTTAGAAAGAGGTGTGCATTATGAAATAAACATTACATTTCTTTTGAAAATGTAGCTATTACCTAAGGGTTCCTGTTTCTGGCTTTCCTGCTATGATTACAACAGTTTGAAGTATGTTCCTTATTGAATAGACTAAAATACCATTCAGTTTCCCCGTAAGACAGCATTAATCTTTCTGCCTGTTTTGTGCTGCAATTCATTATACTTGAAGTAAGGCATATATTGATTTATTATTAAATTGAATAAATATTAAAGTTATGTTTTTAGCTCTAGTCTGAGTACATTATCTTCAAAATAAAACAGAGAACTACTGCACCGCCTTCAATGCTTTTCTTTGGGACATTTTGTTCAGTAAACAACTGATAAAACACAAGCACTCAATCCATGTTTGCTCTATTATTATCATAACCCTAACCCAAAAAAGTAAACAAGGAACTTTATTTTTGTTTAAGTATAGATTTCCAGAGTCCAGAGTTTCTCAGTACTAAGCCTTGAGGAGCACCAGAGCAGTTCATCATTTATAACCGCTTATCTTTATAATGTGCTTGACTGTTTTGTTGTTGTTTTGCATCCGTTTTTAATGGATTGTTTATTCAAGGGAATTAATGATGATATGACCGCAACATTTAGCTAGTTGAGGCTAATGGATTTGCAATATAAAACACATTAAATGAGGCTTGCAGACAGAAAACTCAGGGAACAGATGTTTCCACCTCTCTGTCACTACACAAATAGAGGCCAACGTTAAAGTCAGATATTACACAAATGCTATGTGTTGTTTACTTCCACCGCGAGGTGAAGCACTTTGTTTAGATGAGCGTGTTACTGATCGATACCGCATGACTGCCACCTCTGACTCTCATTTGCAGCATTCCTCCCTTCCCTCCCAAATGCCATACATCTCATCTCAACGAGCAGCTGCTTTCCAATGGATTGCTTCCCTTGTCTGTAAGGAAGCCCTTTATGTTGGCTGTGAATAGAATCCTGTAGCCAATAATCTTCCAGAAGTAGCACCTACACCTTAAAAAACGTAGCAAATAGATATTAAAATTATATTTATCAAAATGTTTCCACGTAGAGCACAGAGCTGTCGGCATGGTCCGAATGCCAGTGTATAATGTAGAGGGGGTGGCAGGCAGCCCCACAGCGACAATATGATTGACGTCACTCACATAAATGTTCAAAAACATTATTGCAATTAAGCATGACAAATGCAGCCTAATGGTGCAGCAAATATTCGGCACATTAGCATAACCTCGGAATAGGTATATAAGAATACCAAGAATGTTGTTTATATATTATTAAGTCGTTAAACAATGGCATGTTGTACAAATAAACAGCTATATGAATAGATAATTATGACACAGACATGTTAAATACAACTTGATCGATGACATAATTATTTATTAGAAGACTATTATATAGTACAGTAATGATTCTATAATAAATGGCTGTTCAACTGTAATAGCTAGACAAAGATATGTGGATTCTGCAATTAAACCAAAAACAATAAATGAATCATGCTCAGCAAAGACTGTACACGGCCAGCATAAAGTTTTTTTTCTTATAATTTTTTTTTCTGTCTTGTCAGCTATTAAATCCAGTAATAGGATAGATGGGGTTGTTAGGGGCTTGTGTCACTAATATTGTCTTACTCTTGCGTCATCGTAGCAAGTGACAAATCCATCATCTTTGCTAATTGCCTTATGTGAGTGTATGCCAACATGAAGCCTCAGAGGCAGGCTGCACCAGATTGCAGACTTCGGTTATAAATTCATAACTGTAACACAGCTTTTAAAGACAAATACAACTATTTATGTAAACAGCATAGCATAAAAAAAGGTATTTGATGTTTTGCTCCATTGTGTCTGCAGTCAATAAGAAATTTTTGGCCTTTCGGTGCTCCTGATGGCCGGTCTGTGCATAGCTGCTAGCTTTGAAAAGGATTTTGAGGCTGTGGCCATTGAAATTCCAAGCAGAAAGGTCACCCGCTGGTCAGAAAATGTCAATAACATTATAATAGATAGAAACATTTCCAGGCCTCAGTAACCAGCCAGCTCCGAGAAGTGACTTTTGCTCGAGCATTGTTCATTAACATCCTGTGACATGGAAGTACTTGTGCAGGAAGCAGCATTCTCCTGAGCAGTGCTGAATAACAGGAGGCAGAGGAGAGTCAGATCAAGTACAAACACACACACACACACACACAATAACACACACACACACACACACACACACACACACACACACACACACACACACACACACACACACACACACACACACACACACACACACACACACACACACACACACACGCTCATTAACAGACACACACACATATATGCCGCATATATGTGTGTGTGTCTGTTAATGAGCGTGTGTGTGTGTGTGTGTGTGTGTGTGTGTGTGTGTGTGTGTGTGTGTGTGTGTGTGTGTGTGTGTGTGNACTAGATTTTCAAAAAAATATACAGAAATATACACTACAGTGACATCTGGCGTCGTTTTTGTAAGACATTTTTACTTCCGCATCAAAAAAGCCTCCCCACGTGACCTCCCGCGTGTGACGTAACAAAGGGGAAACAAGGGGGAGAGCGGCCGGCGTAACGTATTAATAAACATGGATCCCAATGCTAGTTTCGACACAGAAGACACAGAAGAAGTTGAACATGTATATTCGAATGCATATGACGGACCACAACCTTATAATTATGAGCCTGCTAGGCGTCCAAGAGACCAGGAGCAGCCAAGGATTAGAAGAAATAACGGCCATCGGAGAGAAATTGAGCTGTGGTGTGAGGAGAACCAGTGGAGAACTGGGCAGCTATCTTGGTGGGTGATCGGCGTTATTTCTTCTAATCCTTAGTTTAGCCTGATTGATCCATTCAGAAAACA